TAACATGACCATCATGTTTTGACGAAGGGATATATATATATATATATATATATATATTGCCTGTAAAATATTAGTTTTTTTTATATGACAAATACCACCATATGCCATGCATATGCATTGCAGCATTCGTCCTATGGAAAAAGTGAAAGTTTTAATTAGTATAATAAATATAAGAGCAATTTTAGGTTTTAACATGTTCTAAAAAATGTCTAGTCCTATATAATTGATATAAACTCGAATTGAGATTTTTTTTACTTGTTATGTAATTTTGGTGAGGTTTTAATTTCATTTGCTATTGGTTACTGTTTTGTATGGTAAAAAAGTTACGGATAACAACATTACAAACAAGTCCCACTAAAATTAGGGATTAAAACCTTAAAATGTACGAATATTTTTATGTATATGCAAACAATCGAAATGTTAGGTTTTGATAATTATGTTAAATTAGTATCGGTAAAATTAACGTGACACGAAAATAGTTTTTAAACACTAAGAATTGAAATTTTCATAAAGTCAAAGTTAATCTCCTATTTCCAAAATTTCGAAAAAAAATGGATACGAATTTTGAAACAAATCTTTACAGAAATAAGTGCATTTTACACTGCTAATCGGGCCATGATATAATAGTTGGGAAAACGCTATATACTATAAAAGGATTATATTTCATATATAGACAGATATTTGAACTGTGTTGTTTAGTTGTAGTGTTTTTCCTTTATTAAAATAAAATACACCAATTTATATAGTTTTATAGTTTTTCTATAAAAATGAAACATACAATGATTTTTTATGTAACTTTTTATACACATTATGATTATATATATATATGTATGTATGTATGTATATATTATATATATATATATATATTCGTGTTTCACGTGAAACAATTTCTAAATATGATCTTTTATATAAATACTTTGAATATTTTTTAGACTTGAAAAAAAAATATGGAAAACTGTACAAATGTAAACTTTTTTCAAATTTATGATCTACCTGGTACTTTCTAAAATGTCGATCAAATTATAAGAAATTATTTTTAGTATATACATGTTTATCCCAAACTTTATCAAAATTACGTTTTGGTCTCATAATTTAATAGTTCACATTTATGGCCTAATGTTACACAAAACTCCAAAATTTTAACACATGAATCACATATAACATGGGATTATTTATCAAATATTCCAACATATACACGGATATATATATATAGCATGAACATGAACACAACACGACAGAATTAATCTCGTCTCCGCGATTGATTTGTTCCTTAATCACTTCCATACAAAAAGGAAGATAGTTTCAAGAAGTGAGATGACCATAAGACCTCGGCCTCGGTCTTCTTGGTTTGCAGAACACCAAACGCAAAATCCAAATCAGGAAACGTAGAATCTGAATCAGGATGATTAGGGCAGGGAACAAAATCCAATAATAAATGTAAACACCCAATATCATGTGCACCACTGCATCGTCCGACTGAACCAATCCCACCGAAAAGCCGTAAGCAGAGACCATGCACACGACCGCCGTTACCATCAGCACGATCAGCAATATCATCAATACCCGGTTCCTACATTTTTCATATATATATATATATATATATATATATATGTATATATACATATACGAAATAATCATAAATATTATGGAAATATGTTCCTCATCATATACGTAACCAAACGGAGTATTATCAAAAATACTCTTACTTTGATATTTTGACTTCAACAGATACTTTGGAGATCTATGTGATCCGAAATATAGTGTGGTATCACGTATGCAATTTTCAGTTTTTTGAGAAACCGTATTTAATCGAACCGATTCAACAATAAACCGAGTCTAAGGTAGAAAACCGGTGCACAGTAACATTTTCTGGTTCAGTAAACGTAAAACCGATGAAACTCATAACGTTAAATTTATGATGTTTTAATCAAATGATTAGTAAGATATATAATGTATGAATATAATGAATTAGTGTGATTACCATAAATTTAATATTATAATTAATAAAATCAAAATGTGATCACACTATATTTTGGGTCACATGAGTCAGATAGTCACAGTTGGAGAAGGTATGTGTTGAAGTCAAAATATAAAAGTAAGGATATTTTTTATATAATGCCTAACCAAACCGTAGTTTTAAATTCTATCCAAACATTAAGAAATATTATTATCCGGAACCCACTTTTGTGTCGATGTACTTGTCTTGTTCTTCTTTTTGTAAAATAAATTAGGGTGTCAATTTTGACCAAAAAACCAACCCGAGGCGACCTAAACAATATCGGGTTTCCGATCGGTTCAAAAATCCTATTTAATTTGTTTTAAAAAATAATGATAAAATTAAATATGGATAAAAATAAAGAAATTGATTGGGTCGGTCTGACCCCAATCATATATGTCTAAGCTTCGGTTTGGTGTTATAGATCCGAAAAATTCGGGTCGATCTGAATCCAAATCTAAGACCTTTGGGTCGAATGCGGACTTGAACTGGTTTAGGTATATATATGACAAAATTTCAAGTCTACAACTCGTATTTGTTAAAATACGTTAACCCTTTTCGATATACTAAATTCACATCAAACGAAAACGAAATCGATCTATAGTTGAAACGCTTCATGAAACAAATCTGGTTTAGCTTTAACCAAAAAAAAAAAAACAAATTTGGTTTAGGATGTTGAAGTGTATGATGACATGATGGATGGCCTAATTTGTGGTGATACACAAGCTGATTTGGTGGACGTAATTTCATGCCAACGTTTATTTATTTCCTTTATTTGTATTATGGAGATTTCATTTATTTGTAATTAGATATTTTCTTTTTCTTTATTTCTAGACCTTCTATATATTTTGTACAATATTTTGTAAATGAATCAAGAGAGTAATTTTTTCATTCTCATTGTCTTCTTCTTCTTTCTCGGTACTATACTCACCGAGATAGGTTTTGCACTTCTCTTCCACTTAAACGATTATAAACTCTCATATCACAAAAGTTTACATGGTATCAGAGCCTCAAGAGCCATGGTAACCTATTTTTTATTTGCTTCCGCTACTTAACATATATTATGTATATCCCATTTGGTCACATATAGATCTAAAGAGGAGAGTATTGTAATGGCTCATTATTTGTCTCAAGAAGACTTCAATACAATCGTCACTTTCGAGTATATTCGAAAATTCTGAATCATCGATGATACATGGCCTCAAACAACCAAAGAAGAAAGGGACCATGCCCACGATCAAGTGATGGATGAACTCGAGAAGATTCATCCGGATTTGAATCTACAAAAGAGGTTATTATTCAATTTTCTTGGATTTCTTCCGGGTGAGTACAATAATCTCATCCTTCAAATTTTATCATCAACTTCTTTACCATCCGTTCAAGAAGCACGCATGATGTGGCATAAAGAGCATTA